TGGGGGAGTGTCTATGGCCGGCGGGGGAGGGGGGTCAGGGTTAGGGTCCTCCTGAGGGTCCTGGAGGTCACACAGCTCCGAGGCGTCAGAGGGCAGCGGGGGGACGGAGCAGAACCCCGTGTCTGTGCTCACACTGCTGCTGAGATCCTCTCCTAACGTCATGCTGACTCCATCCTGCAACCAGAGAGCGAGACATGACCTTTAGTTCAGCCGGAGTATCTCCACATATTAACAACACTTTAGGATATTTGAAGTAAAAGCTAACGTAATGTTGGGCTATAAAGGAACTACAGCACGGTCACATGACTTCACGTCACCACCGCTAAGCTAAAGGAGGCTAATGTTGGGCTATAAAGGAACTACAGCACGGTCACATGACTTCACGTCACCACCGCTAAGCTAAAGGAGGCTAATGTTGGGCTATAAAGGAACTACAGCACGGTCACATGACTTCACGTCACCACCGCTAAGCTAAAGGTGGCTAATGTTGGGCTATAAAGGAACTACAGCACGGTCACATGACTTCACGTCACCACTGCTAAGCTAAAGGTGGCTAATGTTGGGCGTGATGACGTTTAGTCGTCTCATATAGACAGCAGTGTGGTATTTACTGATGTATTTTATGTGGTAAAACAAAGCGTTAAGATCTCTTCAGCTTGTTTTAACCACAGCCCTTATTTCTGGCGTCAGGTAAATGCAGCCTGATGCTGATTGGTTCTCTTCAACACAGTACAGTGACGGGTTATTAATCAGTATGGGGGATGATTGTACATTCAAATGGGTTAGCTCTTAATATCCCAGCGTCACTGCTGAGCCTCTGTTATCGGCTGAATTAAGACTTTACTTAAGATCTCACGTGAGTTTAAATGAGCCGAGAGGGATTTGAAGTCGGCACTTTTTACGAGCTGCATTTCCTCAGAGATTTCTCTTTATGTTCCTGTGCTCGCTAACGCCTCATGAGAAATCACAGAAAAAGAAAGGGATCAATAAGCAGAAGCCGATATCTCCGAGTCTATCACTGAAGTGCCGTTAACACCGGACCTCAGTGGTTATGAATCATCAGTGGGATGGGGAAACGTCAGCAGATAAATCACATCAGTGACGGACCGCTATCTGAGGATTTATAACTTAATACAGTGTTAGTGACGTCACTAATAATAAAGGCAGCGAACAGCAATAATAATCAGGGAGGTTCGGAAGACGATAAGGGCCACATTCAGATTAAAGTTGATTACTGTTTACCTTACGATTGATTTTAAGGTCCTCCTCCTGACATATAAGGCCCTTAATGGGCAAGGACTAAGCTACATTGCTAACTCAGCTACAAGCCGTCAACAACACTGCGATCCTCTGCTGCTGGTTTGAGGTTCACAGAAACAGCAGCAAAAAGAAAATTGGTCATTAATTATGCCCCAAAGATATGGAACAAAATGCCTGTAGACATCAGGGAAGCCTGCTCGAGGAAGTCTTTAAACAAAGCTCAAAACTTATTTGTAGTCAGATACGTTTATTTTAGGAAAGCTAACTCCACTCTTTTAGGAAAGCTAACCCCACTCTTTTAGGAAAGCTAACCCCACTCTTTTAGGAAAGCTAACTCCACTCTTTTAGGAAAGCTAACTCCACTCTTTTAGGAAAGCTAACTCCACTCTTTTAGGGAAGCTAACTCCACTCTTTTAGGGAAGCTAACTCCACTCTTTTAGGGAAGCTAACTCCACTCTTTTAGGGAAGCTAACTCCACTCTTTTAGGAAAGCTAACTCCACTCTTTTAGGAAAGCTAACTCCACTCTTTTAGGAAAGCTAACTCCACTCTTTTAGGAAAGCTAACTCCACTCTTTTAGGAAAGCTAACTCCACTCTTTTAGGAAAGCTAACTCCACTCTTTTAGGAAAGCTAACTCCACTCTTTTAGGAAGCTAACTCGACTCTTTTAGGGAAGCTAACTCCACTCTTTTAGGAAAGCTAACTCCACTCTTTTAGGGAAGCTAACCCCACTCTTTTAGGAAAGCTAACCCCACTCTTTTAGGAAGCTAACTCCACTCTTTTAGGAAAGCTAACTCCACTCTTTTAGGAAGCTAACTCGACTCTTTTAGGGAAGCTAACTCCACTCTTTTAGGAAAGCTAACTCCACTCTTTTAGGAAAGCTAACCCCACTCTTTTAGGAAGCTAACTACACTCTTTTAGGAAAGCTAACTCCACTCTTTTAGGAAAGCTAACCCCACTCTTTTAGGAAGCTAACCCCACTATTTTAGGAAAGCTAACTCCACTCTTTTAGGAAAGCTAACTCCACTCTTTTAGGAAAGCTAACCCCACTATTTTAGGAAAGCTAACTCCACTCTTTTAGGAAAGCTAACACCACTCTTTTAGGAAAGCTAACCCCACTCTTTTAGGAAAGCTAACCCCACTCTTTTAGGAAGCTAACTCCACTCTTTTAGGAAAGCTAACTCCACTCTTTTAGGAAGCTAACTCCACTCTTTTAGGAAAGCTAACTCCACTCTTTTAGGAAAGCTAACTCCACTCTTTTAGGAAAGCTAACTCCACTCTTTTAGGAAGCTAACTCCACTCTTTTAGGAAAGCTAACTCCACTCTTTTAGGAAAGCTAACTCCACTCTTTTAGGAAGCTAACTCCACTCTTTTAGGAAAGCTAACTCCACTCTTTTAGGAAGCTAACTCCACTCTTTTAGGAAAGCTAACTCCACTCTTTTAGGAAAGCTAACTCCACTCTTTTAGGAAAGCTAACTCCACTCTTTTAGGAAGCTAACTCCACTCTTTTAGGAAAGCTAACCCCACTCTTTTAGGAAAGCTAACTCCACTCTTTTAGGAAAGCTAACTCCACTCTTTTAGGAAAGCTAACTCCACATTTGTTCACATTGGGTGACCAGTGCAACCAGTGCAACCAGTGCAGTGTCTTTATTCGAGTCATTAAACAATATAATTAAAAAAAAAATGATCTGACTATTTAATAAGAGATTTGACACTTACACTTTTGCACACATTTAATTATTTTGGCAAATTTTATTTTAAATAATTATAAAAAACTATTTAAATCAAAATCCTACATTTTTTAAAGATTTTAAAAGAAGCACAGAACTATTATATTCCCAGGTTTTCTTCCAATACTCCTTCTGCAATATTTATTAATACTTTATTAAAACATTTGTATTAATTGTTTGCTATTTTTCCACTTTTTCATTATTTAAATTGACTTTCTTTTTAAACTTATTTTACAAATGACAGCCTTCTTTTCTGGATTCCTGAAGCCAGTCTGACTCTGCGCTATAAACACGGTCCGTTTACATATGTCATTTACCCAGAGAGGGTTCCTAATTAAGAGCTATTGTTTTTATATAAAGTGTCGTGCATTAGGAGGTGGGGGGGGGGGGGGTATGGCAGACGGCCAGCAGGATGATGGGGCGATATTACAGAAAGCTTTTAGAAGAGCTCGCCCTCTGTATTGATGGTTTTATCTGGGGCTCATTACACTAAGAGCCGCAGTGATGGGGGAGATGTCCTTCAGATGACACACAGTGCTGAGTAATAAAGCATCGACGCTCTCTATAAATATGTATGAGGTAAGATTAAATTAAAGACAAAAGATTGGGTCATTTCCTTTAAAATCCTGCAGTCTACTCACCGTTGTTAGTACAAGCGATAAACGTCAGAGGATGGCAAAGCTGTTTCACTACGGACGACTAAAGCTGCCATTAAAGTAAAAACAGGAGGGAAAAAACCGACTTATTAAATGAATAAATGCAATAAAAAAAGCTTCTATTGTCAAATAAATGTGGTAAGTAATTATTTCTATTCATATTTATTTAGTGTTAAATTATCATGCACATTTATTTGACAATCCCACATTTATTTCTATATAAATCATTTATTGATTGAGTCTTTTTTTTTTTAAATCATATTGGCAGCTTTAGTCCTCCATACGGGATGTTAATATTGAAGCTTGTTAATATGAAGCAACCTGAAGGTTTTAAAGTGACCACACCACGTGTAACAGACATATACTCACACATGCTTCTGATGGAGGTTAGCAGCTGGAGTCCATTAAAAGTTAGATGGAGGTTCAGGTGTTACTGGAGGTTTAGTCGTCAGGTGTTACAGGAGGTTTAGTCGCCAGGTGTAACAGGAGGTTTACTCGTCAGGTGTAACAGGAGGTTTAGTCGTCAGGTGTTACTGGAGGTTTAGTCGTTTAGTCGCCAGGTGTAACAGGAGGTTTAGTCGTCAGGTGTAACAGGAGGTTTAGTCGTCAGGTGTAACAGGAGGTTTAGTCGTCAGGTGTAACTGGGTCGTCCAGGTGTGTATTTTGAGGTTTAGTCAGGTGTTATTGAGCAGTGACAGCTGGCCTGAGGTGAGCTTCTGATTTAATCTCCACAAATCACAAGCAAGCGAGCCCCACCACAGTAACCACATTAATTAGAAGCAAGAGCCTGCAGAGCGAAGCTACGACAGAAGGAGGAAGAACCAGCGCACAGAACCAGGACTACAGAACCAGGACTACAGAACCCCCCCACACACACACACACACACACACACACACCGGACCATCTGCCTCTGACAGACGTTAGAAGGTAAACACAAAGCAGAGAAATAGGAAGAGACAGAGCTAGAAAGCACCCGAGCACCAGAGCTCATTTTTGCCCCCCAGTGATCGCACCTCAGGCAGCTGGCTGCTGGAGTCTGAATGCATCCTCTCCAGCATGGAGTCCCGATGCAGGGAGTCCCGCTGCATGGAGTCTTGATGCATGGATTCCCGCTGCATGGAGTCTTGATGCATGGATTCCCGCTGCATGGATTCCCGCTGCATGGAGTCCTGATGCATGGAGTCCTGACGATGAAGGGAGTCCTGATGATGCATGGAGTCCTGATGCATGGAGTCCTGATGCATGGAGTCCTGATGCATGGAGTCCACATGGGTGGAGGCCGTGTCGTCTGTGGCGGAGTCACTGTTCATCTGAGGGGGAAACACAGGGGGGTCAGCAAAGACTTCATAATATGATCCTCCATAAAAATACACTGAGGGCTGGGATTCTGTCATTGTTATTTTTTTAAAACATGATTTTAATCTAGGAATAATTTTTCAGATAGTCTCAGAATTCTGACTTTAATCTCAGAAATATGAAAAAATAATAATCTGAAAATAGTACAGAAAAAAACTGTTTTCATTCATTTATTGATTTAATTTAATTCAGTATTTTATTTCTATTTTTATCTCATCGGTGAGCCCGAAAAGGCAACGTGGGCAACACGCTTGGGGTTGGGTGCCAGAAGGGGGGCAGTGAAAGCAGAGGGTCTCGACGGACCAGACCCAGTGGAATGTCACCTCTCTGGGGGGGGAAGGAGCCGGAGCTTGTGCGGGAGGTGGAGCGTTACCAGTTGGATCTGGTGGAGCGTTACCAGTTGGATCTGGTGGAGCGAGTGTTACCAGTTGAATCTGGTGGGGCGTTACCAGTTGGATCTGGTGGAGCGTTACCAGTTGGATCTGGTGGGGAGGTGGGGCGTTACCAGTTGGATCTGGTGGAGCGTTACCAGTTGAATCTGGTGGAGTGTTACCAGTTGAATCTGGAGGAGTGTTACCAGTTGAATCTGGTGGAGTGTTACCAGTTGAATCTGGTGGAGTGTTACCAGTTGAATCTGGTGGGGCGTTACCAGTTGAATCTGGTGGGGAGGTGGGGCATTACCAGTTGAATCTGGTGGGGAGGTGGGGCATTACCAGTTGGATCTGGTGGGGAGGTGGGGCATTACCAGTTGGATCTGGTGTGGCGTTACCAGTTGGATCTGGTGGAGCGCTACCAGTTGAATCTGGTGGAGTGTTACCAGTTGAATCTGGTGGAGTGTTACCAGTTGAATCTGGTGGAGTGTTACCAGTTGAATCTGGTGGAGTGTTACCAGTTGAATCTGGTGGGGCGTTACCAGTTGAATCTGGTGGGGAGGTGGGGCATTACCAGTTGAATCTGGTGGGGAGGTGGGGCATTACCAGTTGGATCTGGTGGGGAGGTGGGGCATTACCAGTTGGATCTGGTGTGGCGTTACCAGTTGGATCTGGTGGAGCGCTACCAGTTGGATCTGGTGGGGAGGTGGGGCGTTACCAGTTGGATCTGGTGTGGCGTTACCAGTTGGATCTGGTGGAGCGTTACCAGTTGGATCTGTTGGGGCTCACCTCTACGCACAGAGGCTCTGTAAACGTACTTCTTGATAGGGGTTGGACTCTATTCTTCTCCGGCGTTGCCCAAGGTGTGAGGCGCCGGCGGGTGTGGGGATACTCAGAGCCCCCGGTTGGGTGCCGCTTTGTTGGAGTTTACCCCAGTGGACGAGAGGGTCGCCTACCTACGCCTGCGAGTTATGGGGGGAAAGCTCTGACTGTTGTGTGCTTATGCACCAAACAGTAGTTCAGAGTATTCAGACTTGAACCCTGAAAAGAGTCCTGTATGGGGCTCCTGAAGGGGACTCCGTAGTCTTGCTTTGAGACTTCAACGCACATGTGGGCAATGATGGAGACCCTTGGAGGGGCGTGATTGGGAGGAACGGCCCCCCTGATCTGAACCGGAGTGGTGGTTTGTTACTGGACTTCTGTGCTAGTCATGGTTTGGCCGTAACAAAAACCATGTTCGAACAAAAGGATGTTCATAAGTGTACATGAAAACAGAGTAACCTAAGCAGAAGGTCCATGATCGATTTTGTTATCGTATCATCGGACCTGAGGCCGTATGTTTTGGACACTCGGGTAAAGAGAGGGGCGGAGTTGTCAACTGATCACCATCTGGTGGTGAGTTGGGTCGAGTGGCGGGGGAAGCCTCTGGACACACCTGGTAAGCCCAAACGTGAACCCCAAAGTTGTTCTGGAAAACCGTCCGACACCTCAGGAGGGGGAAGCAGGGAACCATCCAAGCTGTGTACAGTAAGGATGGGACGCTGTTGACCCCAACTGATAGGGTCCACACGGCGGCGTCGCGTTGAAGCTTGCCGGTGGGCGTGTCTGGCATGCGACCAGTAACCAATCACATTAATCTCCCGCCCCGGACACACAAGCACGTGGTTTGATTGGCTACAGCTTATACTGGCATATGATTTGATTGGCTGGCGCTTCCGTCGACGCTTGAAAAGTTGAACTTTTCTCAACTTTCGAAGCGAGCAACGGAGGCAAAGCGACGCGACGGAACCTCAATGCAGTTCGGCAAAGCGTGACGTCACCCCATTCAAAGTGAATGGGAAGCATCTCCGCTGAAGCACGCAACGCTGCCGTGTGGACGTACCGCAAGGGCAGTGGAAGAAACACTTTGAGGAACTCCTGAACCCGACAACTCCGCCCTCTATGGTAGAGGCAGTTCTGGATGATGAGGGGGATCAACACCATAACTCCACCCTCTATGGTAGAGGCAGTTCTGGATGATGAGGGGGATCAACACCATAACTCCACCCTCTATGGTAGAGGCAGTTCTGGATGATGAGGGGGATCAACACCATAACTCCACCCTCTATGGTAGACGCAGAGCTGGAGGATGACAGGGATCAACACCAATCTCCCGGGGGGAGGTCACTGAGGTCAAACAACTCCACAGTGGCAAAGCCCCGGGGTGGATGAGATCCGCCCAGAAATGCTGAAGGCTCTGGGTGTTGAGGGACTGTCATGGTTGACAAGTCTCATCAACGTTGCGTGGAAGTCGGAAACAGTACCGAAGGAGTGGCAGACCGGGGTGGTGGTTCCCCTTTTCAAAAAGGGGGATCAGAGGGTGTGTGCCAATTACAGAGGCATCACACTACTCGGCCTCCCCGGGAAAGTTTACTCTAAGGTACTCGAAAAGAGGGTCCGGCCGATAGTCGAACCTCAGATTGAGGAGGAACAATGCGGATTCCGTCCTGGTCGTGGAACGACGGATCAGCTTTTTACTTTCGCAAGGATCCTGGAGGGGGCCTGGGAGTACGCTTATCCAGTCTACATGTGTTTTGTAGATTTGGAGAAGGCGTACGACCTTCAGCACTCACTGGATCGGTTCGCAGCCGAGTGTGAAGTGGCTGGGATGAGGATCAGCAACTCCAAATCTGAGGCCATGGTACTCCGCAGGAAACCGATGGACTGTCCACTCCAAGTAGGGAATGAGTAACTACCCCAAGTGAAGGAGTTCAAGTATCTCGGGGTCTTGTTCTCGAGTGAGGGAACAATGGAGCGTGAGATGGGCCGGAGAATCGTAGCAGCAGGAGCGGTACTGCAGTCGCTTTAACCGCACCGTTGTGACGAAAAGAGAGCTGAGCCAGAAGGCAAAGCAAGTTGAACCGCTGCTCCTTCACGTTGAAAGGAGCCAGTTGAGGTGGTTCGGGCACCTAGTAAGGGTGCCACCTGGTAAGGATGCCACCTGGTTAGGATCCCACCTGGTAAGGATCCCACCTGGTTAGGATCCCACCTGGTAAGGATCCCACCTGGTAAGGATGCCACCTGGTAAGGATGCCACCTGGTAAGGATCCCACCTGGTAAGGATCCCACCTGGTAAGGATGCCACCTGGTAAGGATCCCACCTGGTAAGGATGCCACCTGGTAAGGATCCCACCTGGTAAGGATGCCACCTGGGCGCCTCTCTAGGTGTTCCAGGCACATCCAGCTGGGGGCAGACCCAGGACCAGGTGGAGGGATATATCTCTACCTAGGACCAGGTGGAGGGATATATCTCTACCTAGGACCAGGTGGAGGGATTATATCTCTACCTAGGACCAAGTGGAGGGATTATATCTCTACCTAGGACCAGGTGGAGGGATTATATCTCTACCCAGGACCAGGTGGAGGGATTATATCTCTACCCAGGACCAGGTGGAGGGATTATATCTCTACCCAGGACCAGGTGGAGGGATTATATCTCTACCCAGGACCAGGTGGAGGGATTATATCTCTACCCAGGACCAGGTGGAGGGATCATATCTCTACCCAGGACCAAGTGGAGGGATTATATCTCTACCTAGGACCAGGTGGAGGGATTATATCTCTACCTAGGACCAGGTGGAGGGATCATATCTCTACCTAGGACCAGGTGGAGGGATTATATCTCTACCTAGGACCAGGTGGAGGGATTATATCTCTACCTAGGACCAGGGTGGAGGGATTATATCTCTACCTAGGACCAGGTGGAGGGATCATATCTCTACCTAGGACCAGGTGGAGGGATTATATCTCTACCTAGGACCAGGTGGAGGGATTATATCTCTACCTAGGACCAGGTGGAGGGATTATATCTCTACCTAGGACCAGGTGGAGGGATTATATCTCTACCTAGGACCAGGTGGAGGGATCATATCTCTACCTAGGACCAGGTGGAGGGATTATATCTCTACCTAGGACCAGGTGGAGGGATTATATCTCTACCCAGGACCAGGTGGAGGGATTATATCTCTACCCAGGACCAGGTGGAGGGATTATATCTCTTCTCTGGCCTGGGAGCTCCTTGAATCCCCCAGTCAGAGCTGGTTGATGGGAAAGGGAAGTTTGGGGCTCTTTGCTGGAACTGCTACCTCCGCGATCCGACCACGGATAAGCGGAGAAGATGGATGGATGTTTAAAAAAAGAAATCTAAATTCTAAAAGATAGGTGTTTTTTCTTTCTACAAATGTTTTTTTTATTGTTTAAAAATCTCATAATTCTTACATTTGAGTCAGAATTTGACTATTTCTAAATAATTAATATAAATGTCATTAGAACAGGAAATAACTAAATATATATATATATGTAATTGTATAAACATAGTGACCGGCCCAAAAGGGTTTAATAGTTTACATTTTAGTGCTCGTGTTTCCTCGATGTTCTCAGAGCTCGACTTTTAGTCATTTTAGTTTCAATTAATTCAGAACTTTAATCCTGATTCAGGCAGAATGTGAGATCATGCTGTCGTAAACAAGTAAATATAAATAACACTTTAATATTTCAGACTTCACATTAATCTGCATGCTTTAATAAACGGCTCATTCTGTCAC